TTGGGACAGTGGAAAGAGCACTGTGGGCCCTATAGTTAGAGGATCTTAGCTCAAATTCCTTCTCTGGTGCTTACTCAAGGTGTCCCCTTGGATATGACACTTCCTCTTCATGGGCCTTAGTTTTCTTATCTGTAGAAGGAAGGCATTGAACTAGGTGGCACCCAAGATCCATGATTCCCATCTCTGCCCATCAATCAATGAGCACTTATGAAGTATTTGCTATGTACCAGGCACTTTGCTAGGCACTGGGAATACCAAAGCAAACACAAAGAGAGTACTTGCCCTCAACGAGCTTACAGTAAGGAGAGAAGACGACATATAAAAGGAATTTTAAAGGAGGAAGGGAGCACTCGAAGATACACCATGTATGATAAAGAAATTCCGGAGTACTCTCTGGTGAGACATGAAGACTTCCACTGTGTCAGTTCCAGGGCTGGAGTAAGCTTCTAGGATGAAGAGGTTTCTGAGGCATGGTAGAAGTCCAGAATGCAGCCTGGAGAGGAATAAAGACCTGTGAGCATGGATAACTAAGGATCATGAAAGGTTAATCTATGAGATAATATCACCCCAGAGCTGTGTTCTGATGGATGTTAGTGATTCTTAAGGGTAGCTAGGTGGTGCAGTGGATGGAAATCCAGGCTTGGAGTTAGGAAGACTCATCTTCATGAATTTAAATCCAACCTCAGTTGGATTTACTGGCTGTGTGACCTGGGGCAAGTCACTTAACCCTCTTTACCTCAGTTTCCTCATTTGTAAAGTGAGCTGGAGAAGGAATGGCAAATTACTGCACCATCTTTGCCAAAAAAAAAAAAATCCAAATGGGGTCACACAGGGTCAGATACAACTGAAATCACTCAACAACAAAAAGTAATTCTTAGAACTGAGGAGGAGACAGTCAGCATTTATTAAAGACTTACTGGACTGGGTGCTTGTGCTACAAGCAAAAACAAAAACACAGCCCCTGTCTTCACAAAGCTCGAATTTCAGTGGAGGTAGATATCATATAAATAACTGTGTACCTATAAATACATGCCCAGGAGATGAAGGTTAATCTCAGAAGGATGGGGGCATGGAGGGAACCAACCAGGAAAAATCTCCTGTAGAAGAAGGGTCTTTAAGGAAGTCAAGGAATCCAAGAGGTGAAGGGAGAGCATCTTAGGCATGGGGACAAGCCGGTGCAAATATACAGGAGACACATGTTGTTTGCAAAGGAGAGCAAGTCTACCTGCATCTTAGATTGTTTAAAGGGGAGAGAGGAGACTGCGGATTACTTCCAGACATGGAAGAACATCCTGTAAGGAGGAAGAGGCAACAGGTCATTTTGAAGTTAAACTGCAACAAACATGTGGAAGGCAATAGTATGAAAGGACTGAAGAGTAATGGGACCAAGATGATGGAAGGTCATGGGCTCAAAAGTTTAGAGTTAGAAAGGATCTTAAGGTCATCAAGTCCAACTGCCCTGTTATACCGCTGTGCAAACTGAGGCCATGAGAGGCTGATTGGCCCAAACTCACCCAGGCAGTAAGTAGCAGAACTAGCATTTGAATGCAGGTCCTTGGAATGCCACGCTAAGGATCAGCTATTCAATTAAAAATAGTATTGAGTTCCTATCTTATATAAGGCATTAATCTGGGCCCTGCGGGCATAGATGGGAAGGAGTGGGAGGGATTAAAGCTAGCAAGGGGTAAGCTAGTGAGAAGATTCACTGTAATCTAATGAATACAATGCTTAACCTTAAATCAAGTCCTGGACTCAAAACCCACCATTGACATTAATTAGCTGTGTGACTACATGCAAGTCATTGAGCCTCAGTTTCCTTGTTTGTAAAATAGAGTTAATAATCCTTTTAGTACCTACTCCAAAGGGCTATTGGGAGTTGATATATGCAGAAGCATTATATTGTTGTCATTCATTCATGTTGAACTCTTCACGACCCCATAGACCCACACCAATACGAGCCATGAATTTTTTTTTTTGGACCAAGATACTGAATTGTTCTGCCATTTCTTTCTCCAGTACATTAAGACAAACCAAGTTTAAGTGACTGGCCCAGGGTTACACAGCTAGTAAGTGTCTAAAGCTGGATTCAAACTCAGGTCTTCCTAACTCCATGCCTGGACTTCTATCCACTGAGCTGCCCTAGCATTATGTATGTGTCCATTATTATTATTTAGGCTCTACATGAAATACCTGTAACTACCTTCAAAGAGCTTACAATTTAAGAGTTGGGGAAAAGTAGGCATTAAGACCATGGCAGCCAAGAAGTGGTATGATTTACCTATCTGCTGTGTGCCTTGATTTCTGAATTATCAGAGCTATAAGCAGAAATGTGGGTGCTACTCCGCTTGGTGCCTACTCCATAAGGTTGAACAGAGATGAGCATTTTCGCGTCCAATTGGCCAACCCTACTGTTTACCAAATATCACTTTCATTGCTCTGTTCTACTGGAGATGTTTCTTTGAGCTCTTCTGACATACAGATTTCCTGTTTCCCTAGTACACCCAACCAGAGCTAACTCCTTTTAGAGATCAAACCATAGCGAAGGAATTTGAAGCCAGTAGTGAAACAGAGAGGGTACAACAAGCGAGTTGGGAATGGAGACACTTTGTAACATCTGAAACAACAATGACAAAAATAAACCCCAGAATCACCTGAGACAAGCGTGTGCCCCATGCCATTAACTCTACTGCTCCTCTGATGTCTCCGCCAGCACCTGCCTTATAATCACTCATTGAAAGTCACTGATGCAACAGCCAGCAAGCTGTTGCCTTTCCCTCTTCTGCTGGCCAAAGCTAAATGGCTGTGATGAAGAAATGGATATCAAGCCGACTTTCCCATCTGCACTGAATTTAAATGCAACTTACAGAAGGACTAGGATAGAGATCTGATGAAAAAAATCATCTTTTTATCCTAGGGTCATGGGACTGCTCTATCTAATTCAGTTCCATGTGTAGTCCAAGAGATACCATTGCTTGTCCAAGTAAGTAGGTACCATGTTGGGTACAATAGTCTACTTAACCTGGGGGTTCATGAACTTTTTTTAATATTTTGATAAATCTACTTTAATGTAAGTTGTTTCCTTTGTAACCTTATTTTTTTGTCTCATGCACTTGAAAATATTATTTTGAGAAGGGCCCATAGGCTTCGCCAGACTCCAAGGAGACCCCAAGGGATGCAGGACACAAATTCAGTTTAAGAATCCCTGACTTAGGCATTGGGAACTCGATAACAAAAACAGGATTGTTCTTGTCCTCAAAAAAACTTGTTTCTCCTTTCATTCTTTGGTTCAGTGTGACAATGATCTCTAGACATCATCGAATGCAAGAGCTAGAAGGGCTTTTTGAAATCACTTGATAGGACCCTCTCACTTTACATATATGAGGAAACTGAGGCCCACAGAGGAGAAATGTTTTGAAGTCTTTCCAGGACTCTTTCAACTTGCTTTTCTAATTTTTAAGTAACTAACCAGCCCCTGATGCCTGATGTCTCCAACCAACACATAGCCTGAATGTCAGAATATGTGGGTTAGAAAAGAGTTGATATGTTTTACCAATAGGCATGAAAGAGCTGAATAAAAGAGAGGGTTCTAACCTTTTGGGGAGGATCCTGGAACCTTTTGTCACTCTGGTGAAACCTATGGACCCTTCTCAGAATAACATTTTAAATGCATAAAATTAAACTTCATAGAATTACAAAGGAAAACCACCATACCGAAATAGAGTGATAATTGTTAAAAGTTCAATTCATCAAACACTTACTGAACACTCATCATGTGTTAGGTGTCCTGCTAGATATTCAAAGATGATAATGAAATAGCCCTTGCTCTCACTGAGCTTACAGTCTACTAGGAGGATTAATTGGACTGTAATTAGATTCTATTAAATCTACAATGAGACTTTATTTAAACAATAGTTCTGGGCTCTGTACACATTGCTTAATTCCTCTTCCTTACCCCTAATAAAAATGGGCAGCTAGATGACACAATGGATAAAGAGCTGGCCTAGGAGTCAGGAAGACACTAACTGTGTAACATTGGACAAGTCACTTAACCCTGTTTGCCTCAGTTTCCTCATTTGTAAAGTGAGAGGGTCCTATCAAGTGATTTCAAAAGGCCCTTCTAGCTCTTGCATTCGATGATGTCTAGAGATTCTAGACATCATCAACTAGATGATGTCTAGTTTCTCTGCCAAGAAAATCTCAAATGGCATCACAAAGTGTTGGGCATGACTGAACAATGACAACACCCCTAATAAGACAGGATAGGGATAGGGATGGGACCTTGGATTCATTGCTTTAGGGAACTCCCTGATGAGAAGACTCCAACTAATTCAGGTCAACGCACCTTTTCTGCGAGTTAAATAGTCTTAGAGAGTTTCCTAGAGTGTTGACAAGTTAAGGGACAAGCCCAGGGTCAAACAACCCATATGTATCGCAGACAAGACTTGAGTCCAAGTCTTCCTGGTTTAGAAGGCCAGCTCTTTATGTATTCTATAATACCATGTCTTTACAATAAAATAGCAATGGGTAAATAATTATTCCTTGCCATGATGAAATTTTGCAGATTTTTGAATTGTACACATTCTATTTCACCTCTGAGCCTGCATTCTCATTTCCAATTTTCTTAAAAATTATTCTGATGAATTACTTCATTCATTCAATTCAACCGTGATTACCTTGGTCCAGGCACTGTGCTCCATTCTAGGAATACAGAGACAAAAACAAAGAGGTTCCTGCTCTCAGGAAAGTTATATTTTGTCGGGAAGAGATAGGGTTTTTTTATAGATAAGTAAATATATACAAATTAATATATAATAAGTAATATATACAAAATATTAGGGATTAAAGTTTTACTCTTAAAAGTCTAGAATGGGTATTCATTTTTGGCCTGAAAAATCTATGATTTTTTTTAAAAAATTCTTCATCTTTAAGAATACTGGGTTAGAGTTGCGATATAAACAACTTCAGGTTTGTTTTGTGTGTGTATGTGTGTTTTTATTCAGATACTCAACTCACAAATGAAAAGCACTCAGATGAGAAATCGGTTAAGGGCACCGTTATAAATTCAGTATCCGAATTCAATATTGCCGACGCACCATCCAAGGAAGCCCCCAATGAGAAAAAACTGTCAGCATCCAGCACATCACTATCTTCTCCTGAAGAGTGCCAAACCAAATTCTCATACCTCCAAAACGATACATCATTTCATCAGAGAGACAATGATGGTATGTTTCTTAAAATTCAACAGATCTCTAAATAAAACCGTCTTTTTCCCCTCCCTCCCCCCCCAACCCTGTAAAGAGCATCACATATGCTTAGTGTTGGAGAAATCTTTATGAATATTAAAAGAGAGGGTTCAGAATCTAGACAACAGTGAATGACACATGTCAAGGTCACTTGGCAATCACACAGTACTCAGCAGATCATTTGCTCTCAAAGCTGGGAATCCATAGGAAAAAAAAAATGTTTTTTAAGTGACTAGGGTGTAATCAGTCTTATTTGCTGGGCTCTGAAGTGCAAGCTTCTATCTGCCACTGCACTCCCCTCAAAGGCTGTGGGATTCTTTTTCCTTTGCCATTGTGTAAAGAAATTGGGAGAAGGGTGAGAGGCTCCAAAAAACACAAATAAAGCTTGTAGGAAATGCAAAGAATCATATACCAGCTGCCTATGGAGGACAAAATGTCTGCAGGAAATATTGATTCTTGGGCATGCTAATTGGTGTGAACATGAGTTATGTAAGACCTGGGTATATCATTAAATAGATATGCAAGTTACAAAGCATCCTCACCAAAGCCATTTGGTTGGGTAGAGACTCCACACCTAGGTGGGGGAAAATGTTCCTTTGTTTAACCTCCTTGGCAGCTTTTCAAGGGGCAGAAGCTGGGCACACATTGTTTGTCTTGCAGGCTCCTGCTTTCACACCTAAAGAGAGCAAGCTACTTACTGAAATATTGCAGTGAGCCCTGGGAGGAGCACCTAAGGCTGGGGCCAGCTCTCAGCATGGGCTGCATTTTCTGGTCCATGTTTATGGATATGTTTAAAGTGCTGAAATTTTTTTAAAGCAATGTTTTTTTCCTAAAAGTGAACAGAGGTATCTACCTTCAGTTGTATGTTTACAACAGAGAACAAGAGTACTCTTCCTTTTTCTCTTTATATCCCCAAAGCTTGGCATATTGGATAGGGGGCCTACCTTGGAACTAGAAAGACCTGGGTTTAAGTCTTGCTTCTGATACATTATGGCTGTATGATTCTGGGCAAGGCACTAAAATTGCCAACCTGCGTTGGTAGAGTGTGACCTCACCAAGATGTTCTCACTTCCAGGGAACTCACTCATCCAGTCCTCCTAACCTTAATATTTTACTCATAGTAAGCACTTAATACTCATTCATGGGGTGGAGCCAAAATTTCAGAGAAGAGCCAGGGACTCCCTTGAGTTCTCCCCAAAACACTTTCAAAGACCTTTAAATAATGCTCTAAAACAAATTCTGGAGTGGCAGAACTCACAAAAGGATGGGGCAAAACAATTTTCTAGCCTAAGATAACTTAGAAGTTCAGCAAGATAAGTTTGTCACACTGAGATGAGAGTGGAGCATGGTCCAGTGCAGGCCACACCAGCAAAGACCAGGCCCCAGAAAACCAGGAGCAGGCCTTGGGAGTGACTGAATCTGCAGAGGCAGCAGCTGCTTCCAGAGCTTTCAATCCATAAATGGTAAGGGGGTCAAACAACTGGTCAGAAGGTGATTACAGGAGTCTCTTTTCTGCCACTGGGGGCAGGACTCTGTTGCTTTGCCCATATTGGGATCCAGGTTGCAGTCCTGGGTTTCAGTCCCAGGGCAAGGAGGAGCATACCAGAGCTTGTGGCCACAGTGGATTGGAAAATCTTGCCACAGTGTCTAGGGCAGAAAATAGTGCTTGTGGTTACTCACAGACAAGAGCATAGGCCAGGAGAGTAGTAAATACAACTCTCCTTCGATCATACCACCTTGGAAAAACTGAAAACTTACAGATCCCTAGAAGTATCTCTGAAAAGAAGCGCACAAAACCTCTGAAGCTGTGTGCCTTCCACACCAGAAGCAGAGCCTCACTTTAGCAAAAAATTAAAAGTCAAGGAATAGTCTAGAAAATGAGCAAACAATAGAAAAAAATTCTGACTCTAGAAAGATACTATGGTGACAAGGAAGATCAAAACACACACTCAGAAGAAGACAGCAAAGTCAAAACTCCTACTTACAAAGCCTCAAAGAAAGATATGAATTGGTCTCAGGCCATGGCAGAGCTCAAAAAGGAATTTAAAAATCAAGTAAGAGGTAGAGGAAAAATGGGAAGATAAATGAGGTTGATGCAAGAAAATCATGAAAAAAAGAGTCAACACCTTGGTAAAGTAGGCACACACACATAAAAAAAAAATACTGTAGAAAAAAATCCTTAAAAAATAGAATAGGTCAAATGGTAAAAGAGTTACAAAAATCCAGTGAGGAGAAGAATGCCTTGAAAAGCAGAATTGGCCAAATGGAAACAAAGGCTCAAAAATTCACTGAAGAAAATAATTACTTAAAAATTAGAATTGAGCAAATGGAAGCTAATGACTATATGAGACATCAAGAAACAATCAGGCAAAATCAAAAGAATGAAAATTTAAAATAATGTAAAATATCTTATTGGAAAAACAACTGACCTGGAAAATAGATCCAGGAGAGATCATTTAAAAATGATTAGACTTCTTGAAAGCTTAGACATCATCTTTCAAGAAATTATCAGGCAAAACTGTCCTGATATTCTAGAGCCAGAGGGAAAAACAGAAATTGAAAGAATCTGCTGATCACCTCCTAAAAGTGATCCCAAAATGAAAACTCCCAGGAATATTACAGACAAATTCCAGAGCTCCCAGGTCAAGGAGAAAATATTGCAAGCAGCTAGAAAGAAACAATTCAACTATCATGGAGCCACAGTCAGAAAAACACAAGATTTAGCAGCTTCTACACTGAAAAGATTGGAGGGCTTGGAATATGATATTCCAGAGGGCAAAGGAGCTAGGATTACAACCAAGAACCACTTACCCATCCTTCAGGGGGAAATGTGGATATTCAATGAAATAGAAGGCTTTCAAGCATTCCTGATGAAAAGACCATTGCTGAATAGAAAGTTTGACTTCCAATACAAGACTCAAAAGAAGCATAGAAAGGTAAACAGGAAAGGGAAATCATAAGGGACTTGATAAGGTTAAACTATTTACATACCTACACACACACACACACACACATACACACACACACACACATATATATATATATATAGACAGAGAGCACAGGTGTGACATATATACACTGGGAGAAGGGGAAGGGGAGAGGTGGAAGGAGATAAATTAGCTCACATAAAAGAGGCAAGAAAGAGCTTTTACAGTGGAAAAGAAGAGGGTGGGGAAGTGGTGAGGAATGCGGGAGCCTTACTCTTATTGGAATAGGCTTAAAGAGGGAAAAACATACACACTCAATTGGGTATAAAAATCTATCTTACACTACAGGAAAGTAGGAAAAAGTGATAAGAGAATAGGATTGGGGAGGCAGTAGTCAGAAACAAAACACTTTTGAGGAGGGATGAGGTAAAAGGAGAAACAGAATAGAATAAACAGTGGAAATAGGATGAAGGTAAATACATTTAGCAATCATAACAGTGAAAAGCAAATTTTGAAGTAAGTTTCTCTGATAAAGGCGTCAAATCTCAAATAAATACAGAAATGAGTTAAATTTATGAAAATAAAAGTCATTCCCCAATTGAGAAATGATCAAAAAGTATGAATAGTCAGCTTTCAGATGAAATAATCAAAACTGTGTATAGCCATAAGAGAAAATGCTCTAAATTGGTACTGATTAAAGAAATGTAAATTAAAACAATACTGAGGTACTACCTCACATCTATTAGACTGGCTAATAGGACAGAAAAGGAGAATGACAAATGTTGGATGGGATGTGGGAAAATTGAGACACTAATGCACTGTTGGTGGAGTTGTGAGTTCATTCAACCATTATGTAAAGCAATTTGGAACTATGCCCAAATATTTATAGCAGCTCTTTTCTGGTGGCAAAGAATTGGAAATTGAGGGGATGCTCATTAATTGGGGAAAGACTGAATAATTTGTGGTATATGATTGTGATGGAATACTATTGTGATATAAGAAATGAGGAGCTAGATGCTCACAGAGAAACTTGGAAAGACTTGCATGTACTGATACAAAGTGAAATGAATAGAATCAGGAGAACATTGCACACAGAAACAGCCATGTTGTAAGATGATGAAATGTGGATGACTTCGCTATTCTCATCAATACAATGATCCAAGACAACTCTGAAGGATTTATGATGAAAAATGCTATCTATCACCAGAGAAGGAACTGATGGAGTCTGAATGTAGATCAAAGCACAAGTTTTTTTTTTACTTAATTTTTCTTGGGTTTTTATTTTGGTCTATGTTTTCTTTTAGAACATGATTGATATGGAAATTTGTTTTGCATGACTACACATGTACAACCTATATCGAATTACCTGCCTTCTTAATGAGGGGGGTGGGAAGGAAGAGAATTTGGAATTCAATTTTTTTTTTTTTGGCTAGGCAATGGGGTTAAGTGACTTGCCCCGGGGGGGTCACACAGCTAGTAAGTGTCAAGTGTCTTAGGATGGATTTGAACTCAGGTCCTCCTGACTCCAGGGCCAATGCTCTATCCACTGCACCACCTAGCTGATTCAGGAATTCAATTTTAAAAACAAATGTTGAAAATTGTTTTTATGTGTAATTAGGGAAAAATAAAATACTAAATTTAAAAAAAATATTCATTCACCTTGTGCAGTATTTCTTCCTTGGAAATGATGGCAGACCAGCTCAGGATTCACACAGTTATAAGCGAGTAGGGGGGAAAAACCTCTCTGACCTTCCATTTTGCAATTAACTGCTCTTGGACACATCACTTCATCTCCCTGGGCCTCAGTTTCTATGTGCCAGGCATTATCTAAGCTGCTGGGGAATATGAAGTTAAAAATGAACCAGTCCCTCCCTCAAAAAACTTACATTCTATTGGAAAGATACAGCATGCCTACAAGAACATAAATAAAAAGAATATGCAAAGAACTTTCAAGAGATAATAATTGGAGAAATTAGGAAAGGCTACATATAGGCAGTGGTACCAGAACTAATTTTTGGAGAAAATGAAGCTTGGCAGCCTCCTCCCTTCTAA